GAGCGGTTCTCTGTTTCCATATGACTATGTATTTCCTTGCTATGACCTAGTTAGTATGACAGCTCAAATGAAGAATTTTAATTGCATTAACTAGTCAACTCATTCTCTCAGCTAATGAAGAGCTTCGTTAAATTAACTTTTCCCTTTTTTCAGAAAATAATATGCTCCTATTTTCTTCTATTGCATTTGTAGGTACCTTGGAATCATAGACAGACATCTCATCCCTGCTTTTTCGTTCTTCAAAGGTTAGTTTACTTACATTTTTACATGCACACTTACCTACAGATAAGAAGGTGAGGTTCCTGTCCTAAGGAATTTATCTTTTTAAAAATTCTCATTTTTCAGTGACTTCATACAAGTAACAGACTACCCTGCTGGCAAATTCTTTTATCCACAACTATTTCTATTTCTTTTTCTTAGAAGCATCTAAATCTTTAAAATCCTGCATTACAGTGCTTTAGCTTTTGACTGTGCTAAAGTTTTTCTTACGTGAATGCTTATTGTCTTATCGTATCTAAAAACTATAGACAAAGCCCTAGTACAGCTTAAGAGTTGCAGAGACATACCCAAAGAACATGCCCTGCTCAGAAGATTTTACCATCAAATCAACTGGTTTGATTACCCCTATGCACAGTTGACTGCTCTACAGTCCATACTGACATTTATTATGAACGAGGAGCCACTCTCTGTACATCCTTCTGATAGAACTTCATGGCAAAATATAAAGCAAAAGAGGAATGTAAATACATTGTATTTTCCAAAGAAATAATTCTAGCTCGTTTTCTCTTAATCTTATTTCAATAACCTCTGTGTGTCAGTCACAGAGGTCTGGATATTTCTCTTTATTAATTCTAATCCTGCTATTAAGATACTGATTTATTAAGAAGTAAGTATTAAAAAGAGGAATGAAATTAAGTTAGGAAAAGATAGCAGTATTCTATAGTGAGTCCTTCCTTCCTTTGCATTTATCTTCTTTTATCTTTGCGTTTTCTCTTTCCCAACTGTTTTGGAGAGAGAGGTAAGGAAGGCACTCTAGTGTTTAATATTTGAATGAGGACTACAAGATCAAAGTTCTGTATTTCTGCCATAAACACTTCAGTACATTTCAGGGCTTTTTGGAACTTGATCTTGCTTACATGAAATTAGAGGTCTTCCCACATATTTCAATGAAAGTGGTACTGATCTTTTAATCTGCTTACTGCTAGCAATGGATGGAGATAACACTACTTCTTTTCCACATCTGAGCAGTGACGGTGAATTATTAAATTTTGGGATGAAAATCTGCCCTGGTTTCAGCTGGGATAGAGTTAATTTTCTTCATAGTAGCTAGCATAGTGCTGTGTTTTGGATTTAGTACCAGAAGAATGTTGATAACACACTGATGCTTTTAGTTGTTGCCAAGTAGTGCTCAGACTACTCAAGGACTTTTTGAGCTTCTCCTGCTCAGCCAGGTGCATAACAAGCTGGGAGTACAGCACAGCTAGGACAGCTAACCCAAACTGACCAAAGGGCTATTCCATACCATATAACGTCATGCTCGGGGGGGTTAGTTGTTCGGTCGGTTGGTTGCGGGCAGTGTGGTCGCAGCTCGGGCTGTGTGATCGCGGCTCAGGGGGAGTGATCGCGGCTCGGGACGGGCTGGGCATCGGTCAGTGGGTGGTGAGCAATTGCATTGTGCATCACTTGTTTTTTATATATATATATTCTGTATATTCTCTTACCATTATTATTATCACTATTGTTATTCTTCTCTCTTATTAAACTGTCTCTATCTCAACCCACGGGTCTTACCTTTTTTCCTTTCCTACGATTCTCTCCCCCCCAGGGAGGGGGGGGAGTGAGCGAGCGGCTGCGTGGTGCTTAGTTGCCAGCCGGGTTAAACCACGACAAAATCCATACATTTAAAAAATAAGGTATTTAAAATTCAGTGACCTACAGCTTTACTAACTCTGTATATCAAGGCTCCATCATAGGTAATCCAATAACAATGTAGCATGTATCATGGCAATATTACAAGAATTTGCAGTGTAGAACTACATTTTCAGTTGCAATGACATATTAATCTTTCCTGTTAAAATACCAATCTGATATAACCACTGAAAATTACATACAAGCTCCATGTCATATAGAATTGTTTTTCTTTTTTTAACTTTTCACATCCAGAAGCCATTGCACCTATGGGGCAGGGATCATTGCCTCCCATGTAATTGTAATTGGAGGGAGTTGACATACTTGAATAATACTAAATATTTCATGTGATAAGCAGCCCTGTAAACTGAACTGAAATTATGAGACTGTAAGCTGAGGTTTTATTTGTAGGAATAATAAAATCAAAAGACAATTTGATTTTCCCAACTGACCTATTCTGTATTTTCACTAATTTCCTCATTTTTAATGTTAAGAGTTTTCTTTTTTGCATTATAGAAAAAAAATCTCACATAATTTACTTGTGCAGGCAAAATGCCTGTGAATGTTCTCCAGGTACTTAGTGATGCATGCAGCTGTAAGATTCTGGTTTCAACATACAAATGCATCATGTCTTCTGCAAAACTGCCTTCTGCAGTGAGAACGTGTCATACAGATAAAAGCAGTTAAAACTGCCTGTGCGCCAGTGATATGGTAGGATTGCCAGATGTCTGTGATGAGTTTTGGCAATGAAAATTTCTAATGTAAACATCTTCCAGAATTTTGGCCAAGGGCAGACCCTCATGTAATGGGTTAAGCTGTGAGAATGCAGACTGTCAACCATTCATTCTTGGATCCAAGTGATCAGCAGTGTAATACAGTGCTACATTCTTTGCATTCCTCCCCACATAAAAGGAATAAAAAATGCAAATTCACTGTATCCTAGTGGCATGATATACTTTTATGTCCTCAGGATTCTGCACATTGGATCATTTCTCATGTCATCAACCAAGTATCAGAAAGGCAAATTTCTTGGAGAATTCTCTCAAATGACTGCTTTATTTATTTTGTAAGGTTATTTGTGAAATCCTAGCAATGTGCACACAAATGCAAACTCAATCATCTTTTTCTTCTTGTTTTCTTCCTGGATCATCCTCTCACTTGTTCCTAAACTGTAAATGCTTTGAAAATGTTGGCATGAAATAAGTAATCTGTGTCAGATTTACATGAACCAAGACTCCTTTCATCATCCTGGCTGTGCAGAAAGGCCTTACAGTGGGAGAAATAACATCTGCCTTGGCTTCCTGAGACTGGCGTAAAACTGGGGTAAATGGCTCTATCATGACATTTCCAGATTGTAACTAAGAGGACAGAACCAGAAGGAAGGAGGCATTTGCATCAGGTAGATTGCCAAAGTGCATTTCAGTACTATTATTCTTCCTTACCTTACTCTTATTCCCTTAAGGGGAGCAGAAATATAGCCAGCATAAAATTGCCTCAACTTCTGTGACAGGTATATGCAGCAAATTGGGATAGTAGAGCTTTATACTCATTGCACACTAATAAGTAACTTCTCATGGGAGCTGACTTGCCAGTATTTCTTTCATCTTCTGTGCTCACTGAAACTGATGCAGACCATAAGCAGAATGGATAGGGATAAAATGCTGCCCAATAAACTCAGAAACAGTATAAATTGTGATTGTCTTTACTGTTTTGGCACTAGATGTGTTAATTTTTGATTGTTTCTGCCTATAATTGATTTGCATTTGTAACCCCCAACACCTAAATAATATATGCTACTTACAAGGATTAAGAAGAATAATTTTTAGACAGTGGACAGTTTTAAGCCTCTTAGCATTATTTGGCACTAAGGAAAACATTTATGCTATAGTCACTTGATAAGCACACTAAAGTACAACTCTAACTTCAGTGGTGTTTCTGATAGGTACTGAATGTCAGTAATTCAAAAATTTTAAAAAAAATTATGCTCCAAGATATTTTCAGCTTTAGAAACCAAGTCTTTTCATATTTACTTTGATAAATGATTTTAGTATTTTTATCCTGAAGATACTAAAAATGCAGAGTACCTAAAACTCACTAGGATAGCACATAACAAAATGTAATGAAGAAAATTGAAAAAATATTAGGAAAATATAACTTTTTAAGGAGAATGCAAATAGAAAAATATATTGTATTCACATGAAATGATTTCAAGGCATTTTGCAAAGATGTTCCATCCATCAGAGAGATGGATAACACGAGTATGTAGGTATCCATAATTAAAAAAAAAAAACCAAAACAATCTTAGCCTAGTTTTCTGGTGTGCAGTTTTAGAGGCCTGAAACTTGAGTTATAGATACTGAGTAGCTACAGCTTTGACATCAATGAGAATTGTGTCCATTGCATTATGGATAGACATATAAAACTATGCACTGGAAAAATCAGTATCAAAAAATCAAGGTCACTTTTGAGAATGTGTTTTCAAATTACAATGTGCCAGTGGACAATGGAAAAAAAATGGAAATTTCATTTCTGATTTCTACTGCCTAGATATTACTGTTTGCTCATAAATTTGGGAAACATGAGCAGGGATGCCTGTGACAATATGCTGTCCTCTACATGTGTGTTTTTCTCAACTTCCTGCTTGTATATCATAGGCACAGACGCAGGCACACGACTTTTATATTGAAACATTTAACTCTGTTACTTTTTGTGATGAATTACGCCTATAAGTGCTTACCTTGTAGCTTAGATAACTCAGCAGAAGAGTTTCAAAGAGACTTATTAAAGCCACAGAAACCTGAAGTGATAAAATATGTACATTACTACTAGCTTCTAAAGAATATATGACATTAAGCATTACAGTGAAAAGTAAAAGATTATAAAAAACAGCTTTTCCATGCATCCTCTGAAAATACTAACAGCATTTAGCATGGAGCTTAAATATTGTTATTTTTCTGACTAAAGCACAGGCTGTGACTTGAGTCTCATTGCTCTTTTCCAAGTATAACACTCCAGAGAGCCTGCAGGGTGGCCTTTCCTTGGTTCATAGAGAGCTCCATACACAGTCTGCCAGATTGTTTCTCAAGTTTCAGTTGTCTGTTCCTAAAAGATACTGCGATCGTTTCACAATACAGAGAAAGAGAGAGGACAAGGAAGCTGTAAATAATGGAAGCTAGTCAGCTCTTTACTTTTCTGTAAAGATGTTATGAATGTGTGGAAAAACAAACACTTTTTTTACTTTGTATGATTCAGAAAGTTGAAAACAGCAAAACACAATATAGATGTATCATTATTTATTTTAATATCTAAATGCAACTGAGGCCAACTTATCAGCCCTCAGTTAGATTACAGGTAGTCTATGTATTATGTCATTTAAAAAATATTTAAATAGTAAAATATTAAAACAGTAAAAAATTTACTTAAGACTTTATACATATTAAATAACCACAAAACTTATGTAAATTCTCTGCATAGCAAATATTTGTATTCTAATGTATATATTGTGGGAATATTCTATCAAGAAGATATACAAATTCAACTGGAGCATAGAGTCAAACAAGCCTCAGGATTTCTAATTTTAAACTAATGCTCTTTACTACTGAAAACTCAGAAGAGTGCACTATTTTCACTCACAATACCATTATCTAGAATTTAAAAAGATGCTATGAATTGGAAAATTATTAAAATATGCAATCAAAATATCATATCAGTTTCTCCAAATAAGTACTATGGCTTTATATAAACTCAGATTGTCTCTTAAATAAAATAAATCTTTGTTTGCAACTATTTTATGTATCCTACTGTGAATACACATGTATATACTTATGCATATGCATACACATATGTATAAATTCCTATTTTTATCAAATAAAATTATTAGAATAAGAGTGTAATCATAAGCAAATAAATCTCTCAGTATTTTTTAATTAAATTGAATACAGTAATCTGAATGTCATTCTGAATGTCTAGGTCAAAATTTATTCCAACTGTGCATACTTTAAGCAAGGCATTGGAAAGTATTTTCATCAAGGGATTCTTCCCTTAGTAAAATCCTGTATTACATAGAGGTACAAACCATCGTAATGGCATTGCACTAAGCATGGTGCAAGAATATACTGTTATAACCATTCTGGAAGCTTAAGCAATTCTTAGCAGAAAAATGTGTTTCACAGGGAGAATTCCTACAGCACTCTCCACAAGTGAAAAAGTTGTTCCTAAAACGAGCAGGCTCCAAGACACTGAGGTTTGAACCACAAACTTCAAAAGATTTCCAAGACCCACAAACCACTGATGTAGTGCATCTTTTGTGACATACTCCTCTAAACACGTAAGCCTTTATATTATGAAGTAACTTTAGCTTTCTAGTATATTTAATAAGAAAGCCCATGAAGCATGTCAAATGCTAGTTATGAGCAATTATGAAGTTTAAACTCATCATTAGAGCAGTGACTCGTCGACTCAAACAGAGCTTGATAATTCTAAGAGAAAAGGCTATCTAACTCTACAATATTTTGTTACAAGCTTTAATACTTTATAAATACATTGTAAAGCCATATAGATTCAAATCAGCTCAGATCAGCTTTTCTTTACTTCATGCTTTTATTGTACTTGGTCATCAAGTAGATTTCTTTGTTATTATCAACTTTTCCAAGTATCCTTTAACATCACTAAAATGCTATAAATCAATATCATCTACGGTTGTTAAATTGAAGTAGTTAAATTGGCCATTTACGTATTACCTGTAATCCCCATAAAGGCAAGCTTCGATTCACCCAAATAATAGGAGACCTGTTCATTATAATAAGAAAATAAATATTAAATTAATCAAAATCTGTTTAGTGTTTTGAACAAAATCAAGAGAAAAAATGTTCTACATGTGAATGGAAATTAGAGCAGTCTTATGTTTTAAAAAAATTCTCAGCAATAAAAATTTTAAATCTACTGAGTATTGACGTTGCTTATATTTCTATTCCAGAGCCAATCATTGAGTTCCCATGAGAGTAATCCAACATCCAGGGACACCAAAATCTTTTATTGGCTTCAATGGCTGCTAATTCATCCCCTATGATTCCAGAAAGAATAAATCCATTTGAGCTTTTGATTCTAGAGATGTGGTAGGAAAAATAAACTTGATAAGTTTTTTGCATGAACTTTTTGCTATCTCTGTAATGACATAAATGGTATCTAACTCATAGGGACTGTTATATCTTGGAAAAATCTCATGTTGTCTTAGTATTTACTAAACTCAATGATAATAGGCACTTTGTACAGTACTACTGGAATCTGGCACACTCAGGGGCACAATAGTTTACTGTTAGTCATTTACTGCTAGTCATAATTGTTTTTTAAATATGGGCATCCATTTTTTTTCAGAAAGGTATAAGCATTGATGAAATTCAGATCTTACAAGAGCATCCAATCCAGCAGTTCACTTATGCAATCAGAAAAACAATTAAAATATTAAAGGCAGTTTTGAATATTCAGGAACACGGAAGTAATTGCTTGAGAGTAATGGGAACATCACTATTATATATTAAAATGTCACCATTCCAGATGGAAATGGATTTATCTTCCTGTCTCCCTCCCCTTCCCACCATTATGTGTGCTTTTTTAAATTAGGAACTCACCAATCAATTGTTCCAGGTGTGTAGTTTTGATTGGAACAACTCCGGTTTAATTCCTTACTGATAGTTGTCATCCCATCCATGCAAAGTCCATTTTCATTAGAAAATGTATACAAGAACATGATCATAAAAACATATGGGAGGAATGGGATATTAATTACATGATTAAGTGTTCTATAAAATGCATGCAATAGCTTGAAACCCTAGGCAATGGATATAGACATTTTAAAAAGTAAAATAACTTTTAGAAAGTAGCTCCATATATGTTCTGTATCTGTAAATAAAGGACTATGAAGCATTTCAGGTTAGATTCTTTAAAGATTTATTTTCAAACATATTCCAATTTAAAAAAAAAAAAACCAACTGGAATTATACTTTCAAAAGCTGAACTAAGTACACAATAAATATTGAAGATCAAGAGATACTAGAAATTCTATCACATGGATAGGTTGGGATAGAAAAAGCACATATACTTATATCTGTCATGCTCTCAACAGGAAAAACTGCATCAAACTATACTTTATATCCTCTTGTGCAGATGTGAGGAGGGCTGGAGATTCATGCAGCAGTAATTCAAGCAAGAAACTGGTGACATCTGTGTAAAAAAATAGCTGCTATGTACATGTGATGTTATCTTGCCTTGAATTGCTGGCATAAATCCTCCCTTCAAATGGTCATGTAAGGATGTGGGAATATATATTTGTGTCAATGTTGAAAAATATCCTTGTTTATCCTTGGCAAGCAAGGTCAGTGGAAGAGAAAAGGATTTGCAGACCACAGATTAGTAATAGCTGTATTTTTACCGACCATGAGTGGGACAGGTGCTAAATGGTATCCATTAATAAGGATGCTTTATGTCTTAAGCTCTTCCCTGTACACCCACTGTTCCTGAAGGAGTAAATAAAAGATATTAACTTCTGCAGGCATTTCTGAAAAACAGGAAATAAATCTGCAGGGGGAGTCTGTGATGAAAACCATTCCTCCCAGAATTGTCACTTTAAAAACAACCAGGTGATAATGTTTTCTGTGGCCATGCTCCCATCACACTGAGTACTTTCTTTCATCAGACTGTGATACAGTATCTAGAAAGGATTTTTTTCCCTAACACTGCATTTGTAAGAATGTATTATGGCAGCAGTTTAGGTATCAAGCCCTCAGGATCTCTATGGGCAAAACCATTGACATTTATGCGGTACCATGTGGGCACAGCACTGGTTTGTCTGGCATAGCTGCTAAGACTGGGGTCTTAGTGAGCATGCAGAAGTGACTTATCTGAAACTTCTCAGCCAGACAAATGTTATACAGAGATAGCACAAACTAGCCTCTTAAATGTACCACAACACAATGTAAGGGAATAATATATAGAGAAAAGACAAATACACTCTCTGGCTGGTGAATTGTTAAACATCTAGATTGAAGGAACAAACACGTCAGGAAAGGCCTGGGGAATTAAGCAGTCTGCAAGATGCAGAAAAGTCTTTGCATATGAATACAAAAGTACTGAAGTATACCTGTGGCAGAAGTGCTGATGTTCTAATCTGTTCTGCATACCCTGACACAACCTTGAAGTACAATATGCTCATTTGGGCGCACTAGAGTTCTCATAAGAAAACAATATCAGCAGCTTCTTCAGCAGAAAGTATCATTAGCTATAAAATTTCAAGTTCCTGAGTTGCTGTGCTACTATGCCTAAATATCCAAGGATGGATTTTCTGTTTTCCATTACTGCTAAGGTTTTGAGAAATCTTTACTGCTTGTTTCCTCCCTACACATTTCCTCTCCTTGAAGGGACATTCTAAGATACATGTGGAGTCAAAAAATAGGTTTTTGCAGTTCTTGCTTTTCCAGGGAGATTTTTTTCTGGCCCTTTTTCAGATGTTCTGATTTCTTACAATAAATTTTAACAAAAAAAATTTCTCAAATGCATCTTCTGTACTTTATATTCACACATCCTTCTCTCATGCACTGATGAGTAAAGCCAATGTTCTATAACTCACTTTGCTTTGGATTTGATTCTTGTAAAATATAGTATTTCTCCTGTGCACTAGCTTTTTTATAGTATCACCCTTATTAGATTTAACTCATTTTCAGATAATAAAATTAGAAATCATACTTTGTCCTTTGCCTAACATTGTGTGAAGAGTGCTAACTCTGTCAGCCCAAGTTTAGTATTTTTACCTGTGCTTGCCTGCTTTCAGTATTTAAGGCCAACAGAATCAAATCAAGTGAAAGCAAGTAAGTTAATAAAATGTGGTGCTTACTAGCATTTAGAATTGAGAAGATTCAATATATCCAAGATACAAATACAACTGAAGTACAGGAATGAATAAATTATAATTTCTTCTACAATTGGTGGTTGATTGTATACCACATGAAAAAACCCACCAAAAAACAGACTACCCAATGACCCATACAGAATACCATACTGACAATTGTAGGTGTGCAAAATCATGCATTTAAGACCAGCTTTATAATTCTTCCAAAATATCTGCAAGGCATAAAATCAAATCCCTCTTGACAGAATATCAAACATTTATTCATTAAATTAATTTCTTTCTTAGAAGTTAAACAATGCTTTGAGAGCAGGAATAACAAAAATAACCACATTACCATCCAAGTCCTTGTGTAGGATCATCTAGGAGCACACGAATTATGTATAAGAAACAGCTTAGTAGCTTCAGAGAAAAATTGAATAATCGTATTCTCAGACCTATTTTAAAAAGAAAGAAAATACAAAAATAAATTCAGGTTCTTTACCGTTTCAATCACTTTTAAGGTAAAACTAAATGGAAGTAGAATAGCCATGCTGCAACAGAGCAAAGGTTGATCTAGCCAGTAATCTGTTCCTTACATGGGTGATTGGCATATCATACATATGTAATATACATATATTATTATATATTACATATCTTACATACATATGTAAGAATAAGCCTGTCAGATATGCATGTGATAAACTTTTCTAGCTTCCAGAAATCTCTGGGTTAAGACTCAGTCTGTTTTAATGTAAAAACCTACAGAAAGCTATTCTACGTCATTCATCTTTCCTGATACCATTCTTTGGGTCTTTTGTAGTTTTACTAGTCCACTTGCTTGAAAGGGGAACCAGATCTACATACGGTATTGGAGATGCAAGATACAGTGACATGAAGATGATACACTTTCAACCATAGGCAGAGGACATATAATGGCAAGTACTTAAATATTCTTCATGCAGTAGCTTCTCATACAGAATGTATTCATATTATCCCAACTTTAATTCAAATATTAAACTGTAGTTATTTAATGTTGAAGTTGCATAATTATGTGTTCAAGGACATCTGAAAGCCACGCTGAATGCACAACTGAACTGAATCAACAACTTGATCTACAGACCATGTGAACTTTGAAATGTTCTACCTGAAAGGATATATCACAAATACTATCACAAAATATTACAGTATTTCCCACAAACATAGGTCTACTGCACAAAGAAAGGATTCCTTCAAAGAGATCCATATGGACACTTGCTTTTAGCACATGGGAAATTTATTTCAGTGCTAATTGGAGCCATTATCTACTACAATGGAACTTAACTGTATTTTAATCAGATTTTGCAGTCATTAGAGGATTAGAGTTCAAGTTCTCAGTCTTGTTATTAAATTCTATAGTCTTAAAATTTTGTCACTGTAAATATCTAACTATCTAACGTAGATATCTATGTAACTAACTCTTGGTTTTAAGTTTTTATTCACTAAGTTAAAACTGTCAGGTGACTAAAGTTAAGTGGGGAGAAGTCACTTTAAGAACTGATTATTTTTTCAGTCTTGTGAACTGAGAGTCCAATTCTGCATGGCTGAGCACTTCTGTCCAAAGCAGAATACCATTGACTGAATCTTACACAGATGTGACTTCATTTGCACCTAGTCATAGTAAAGACAGTATCTTTTGTTGTTGTGTTGCAAATATGTTAGTAGCTCTGCTGAACTCAGTATAATTACTTCTGTGGTTTAAGAACTACAGCTTCATTATGCATACTCAAAGCTGTGTGCATACATTACCTTCTAAGGACAGCATCATAATTATCTTAAGGTAATATTACATACTTTTTGACTTTACTCAGTCCTAAGTTCAAAATTAACACCTTACAGATAAAACTGACAAATCACCTTTTATACCTACTAGTTCTCCTCCCATTAAAATGCAATCTACAGCAAACACAGAAGAACAGGAAATAGATTCATAAATATTCTACCATGCAATTGCTGAAAGAAATCTTGAGGTTTATTACACAACACTGTTTACTACTTTTAACTATGAAGTTGCAGTTATCACATGAGAACTGGATGGACTTTTACAGCATCTTGACATCTCTAAACTAGGGGTTAAAATCCTGTGGTCCTGACCATGAGAAGTCCCACAACTGCTT